AGCTGGTGTGGCTCAGTGGTTGAGCACTGACCTATGAACCAGGAGGTCATGGCTCAATTCCCAATCAGGGCTGATCAATGACTCTCATCATTGATGTTTTTAATTCTTTCCCTTTCCCTTCCTCTCTGAAATCAATAAAAATATACTTTAAAAAAACACAAAACCAACAACATCCTTAGTTTCCAGGGATAAACAACACCACATGACTAAACCTTACAGTCACTTTGATGATGATTCTTAAACTATATTGTTATAGGACCTTGTTATTAACATCATTTCAGATAATAATGCTCAGAATTAAACCAAACAAACAACCTTGAAATCGTTATACTTTCATATCAGGAAATTACATGTACTATAGATTAAAATGAAATACAATCCTAATATTGTAAACCCCCCCCCAACAACCCTCTCCTTAATTATTATCATTTATAATCCTTAGGTTTAAATGCCAACAATAAAGAATCATATTTCATTTATTATTCTAAACTTTAATGACACTTTAAATACCTGGTCTACTGAAGAAATATTTTAAAAAATCATCATCGAATTAAAATCCCACAATTTTTTTTTTAAAGGATGTTTCTGACAAGAATTAAAATGCAAAAATGTTTAAAATAGCAAACTGTGGCTTTTAGGAATTATGCAAAGTCAAGAAGCATGGAAATAGTGAGAGAGAGAGAGAAAGGCTGGGTCCATTTGGACTGCAAAAAAAAAAAAAGAGCTCATTTTTTTAGCTCTTTTATGTCATTCAGGATTTTAAGCATTTAAGAAAATGTAGCCCTAGCTGGTTTGGCTCAATGGATAGAGCGTCGGCCTGCGGACTGAAGGGTCCCAGGTTCGATTCTGACCAAGGGCACATGCCTGGGTTGCGGGCTCGACCCCCAGTAGGGGGCATGCAGGAGGCAGCCAATCAATGATTCTCTCTCATCATTGATGTTTCTATCTCCCTCTCCCTTCCTCTCTAAAATCAATAAAATATATTAAAAAAAAATAAAATGTAGCCTTGGACTCAAATAACTGTCTACCATGAAATTAGATGATTTATTGTTTTTTAGTGAACAGAGAAGCCAGAAAAGGCATGAGGGGCTAAAGGGGACAGTATGAACTAAGGCAGGAACACATAAGATCTATATAGAATGCAAATAATAGGTATTAATATAATTGAGGTATAGTTGCAGAAAGTAAAGCTGAAAAAGCAAGCAGAGGTCAGCCAATAGAAGGCCTAGAATAGAAGGAAGTGGGAAAACTTTGGATTTTACTCAGTAGTTTCCAATCAGAGGAGAGACATGATTATTACATTTGTTGGAAAATAACTGGTGGCAAAACGGGCTAGAGAAGCAAGACATTAGCGAAACACTAGATTATTGTTTCAGTTTAGGTAGGAACTGATAAGAACTTGAACAAAAGCAAGAATAGGAATGGAAAAGAATAGGAGAAACTTTGAGAACTGATAGGCTAGATTGATTCAATAAAAAAGAAAGGAAAATCTTAAGAAATTTTCTAGCTGTGAAATAATAGGAAATATATATATACTAGAGGCCCGATGCACGAAATTCAGCCCTTGCAGTCGCTGCTTCGTTCGGAAGGTTGTTCAGCTGTCTGGTCTAATTAGCATATTATGCTTTTATTATTATAGATGTGTGTGTATATTTGTCTCTGGCCCCATGTTTCTGATACAGAGCGTCTAAATTCCTTGGAATTTCCTGGGTGATAGGAGTGTCTTTCATTTTAATGAGGTGACTCTTGGTGGGTTCCTGGATGAGGGCTGGTCACCAGAAAGACGAAGCCATGATTAGAAGCTTGGAACTTTCAGGCCCACCCCCCATTCTCTGGAGAAGGGAGACAGGCTGGAAACTGAGTTAGTAATTGATCATGCCTATATGATCTCCAAAGTATGGGATTTGGAGAGTGTTCAGGTTGTTGACACATCCGTGTGTTGGGGGGTGGCACACCTCAACTGCACGAGGACAGAAGCTCCTCTGCTTGGGACCCTTCTGGACCTCATTCTATAGACCTCTTTATCTGGCTGTTCACCTGTATCCTTTGCAAAACCCCTTTACAATAAACCAGGAAACAAAAATAAATGTTTCCCTGAATGCAGTGAGCTGTTCAAACAAATTATCGAACCTGAGGTGGGGGAACCTGGATTTTTAGCTGGTAGATCAGAAATACTGGGGACAACCTGGAACTATATTGGCATTTGAAGCAGGGGCAGTCTAGTGGAACTGAACCCTTGACTTGTGGAATCTAACACTAACTCCAGGTAGATAATGTCCGAACAGAATTGAATTGTAAGACACCCAGACTGTGAAGAAGTAACTGGTGTGGGAAAAACGCACATTTCTGGTGTCAGAAGTATTTTGAGAGTAAGGGAGAAAAAGAGTTTTCCATTCACTAGCTCATTGGAAAACAAAAAGTAGGCTTGGGGAAGGACACTCAGGGAAAATATCAAATAAGCAGCTTGAAATTTGAGTCTGGAGCACAGGAGAGACGCTTTAATGGAGATACAGACTTGAAGTCATCAGTATTGGGCAGTAGATGAGATCATTCAGGAATAGAGTATAAACTGTGAAGACGGCAGGGGGAAGAGGCTCAAGGAAAACCCATATTTAAAGGTTGGGTAGAAAAAACAAGTGAATATGAATGAGACTGGGAGATGATAAGTAATGGCCTTTGAGAGTATAAGATCTCTAGAGTGGTATAGGTAGAATCAGATTTCCAGCATCAGAACCATTATGCATTTTGGTAGTAGAAGAAAGAAGAGCGAGCCATGAATTGAAAGGCTGAGGGAAGGCCTTTTTTTGGAAGCAGTGGTGGAGGGGGAATAGGAAGATACAGGCCAGAGTGTGTGGATGAAGACATGAGCACAGCCATTTTCTTTATAACAAATAAACAACTAGCTTCTGACTACAGAAAGAAAAAACCAGTTTGGGAGCATTTCTTATCTTTTAAAATATGCAAGAGAGAGTGATAAGGACTAGAGCAGAATTCTGACAAAGGTCAAGGGGGGAAAAATGAACAGCTCAAGCACAATAGCTACTTCTCCATGGGATGGTAAAAAGTTTTAAAAAATTATGAAATAGTTCAAGCATACATGAAATAATTTAATAGCAGAACTGCAGTATATTCATAATTGTCATGTACTTAGTTCCTCCTAGATTCATTTTTCTTTAGGATTTTTATGTTATTACCTGCCGGCTGAATGTATTCTGTACGTGCATCCAGTAATCTTCAACTGGATCGTAACAGTATATTGCCTTGGTCAGTCCACCAGCAACATATATCAAGTTGTTTAAGGATACAGCTGTTATACATCTCTTGGCAATTGGGATAGCTGCACGAAGTAGCCAAGAATTGGTTTCTGGATCATAAGATTGAACCTAATACATAGAAATATTTAATTAAAATTTCTCAACAAAAATGTAAATTTGCTTAATAAAAAGCCTATCAATATATAGAAACATGATTAAAAGTCAAATCTCATTAATTCACAGAATTAAGAGAGTTAGCTTGATAGTGAACTGTGAAATATGAAATTCTCAAATGTACATTTATTATTATCAAACAGAATAAAGTAACAAACAGAGATTGCTTCCAGGAGGAATGGCTACCAAGTTTGCTTATTTCCATGAAAGTGAATAGTTTAGATTTTTAAAAAATTGTATTATATAGCATAACTATGATTTAATCTGAATATAATTTCTTTACACTTTTAGGGATACCTTTCTTCAAAAGAACATAAGTAAATCTCAATTCAGTATACTCTGAATGATAACAAATTCTGAATTAATGAATTTTAAATATGTAACTTTTGACCACATTGTATAAAGTTAATTTAGAAAAAAAAATTGACAAAATTCAGTTAACTATTGCTAAACCAATTAGGTAATAAACAGCTGTTTCCAGAACAAACTTTGTATTTCCTGAGATGTCAGGGTGGCTAAGTTCTTTTGTCCAAGAGTTCCATGAAATGCAGCAACTTTGAACCATCCTCTATTTATATTACAGAGGTTTCCTTTTCTCATCTTTGTTCTAAAAAATACTTTTAAAGTACACAGAAAATGACCCAGTTGGAGGCAGCATAATTAGTTACTGTGTCTTATCCCATTTGCCGATTCATTTCCCAACTGTGTTTTGTGTGAATAATTTTTCAAACCTATTGACTACAGCAGTAAAAGGTTTAAAACAACTTATTTAGTACAAGATCTCAACATTGAGATTAGTCTCATTTCAAACAGATCAAATCATGCTTTTTACAGCAAATTGTCAGATATATTAGAATCTCTCTTTACTAACTTGAAATTCAGTATTTTCCCTCAAAAGTATAAAGTACCAAGTTTTAAAAGGCCTTTCACACTAAGGAACCCCGCTATCCCCTTGATAAACCTTCCATATTTCTCTTCTTATATATGTCGGTGGTAATTTCGGTAAGAGAACATGCCTTACCTTATCAGAACAAGTATTATCATCAGGTCCGCCACCAATCACAAACAGTTTGCCTACACAGCTAGTCACAGCAGGAGAACTCACTGCTTCCTTAAGGGGAGCAACTTCAGTCCATCGATTTGAAAAGGAATCATAACATTCTACGCTGCTAAGCCTGTTCTGTCCATCATAGCCTCCAACAACATATACCTATATATAAAATACATGGGAAAAAATCTTAATTAACAAAGCTTGAATCCTGAACTAGTTGGCTAAAGAATTAAGTGACCTCTCTCCTTTAAAGAGCACTTGATAACTATAATTGCAATATATTTAGCTCAGCTTCTGAAACTTTAAAAAATTTGCCACCACCAAGGAGTCTTTTTATTTTATTTTTTTTATTTTTATTTTTTTAAATATTTTTATTGAGTTTATTTATTTCAGAGAGGAAGGGAGAAGGAGAGAGAGAGAGAAACATCAATGATGAGAGAGAATCATTGATCGGCTGCCTCCTGCACACCCCACACTGGGGATTGAGCCTGTAACCCAGGCATATGCCCTGACCAGGAATC